ACAGCTGCCTGGCCTTCCCCTGCAGCATCCTCCCCTCGCGGCCCTCCTGGCTTGGACCTCTCTTGGCTCCAGCACATCCCGCCCTGGGCTGTCCAAGTCCTTCTTGTCACCTCTGGATTTCCCGGGAAAAGGAATCATTTTAAAGTCCCAGGTAATTACAAGTGGTTGGACTAAGGCTGACCAGACATTTGTAGACCTAAGTGACTCAATCGTGTATCTACAACTCTGAGCGATCACCGAGAAGGGCTACCGACTTTCCGCTGTACTGCTCTTTGTTGCTAAGAGCTAATGATAAGGAGAAGCAGGTTCCAAGAATAACTTCAGCTCTCACGGAAGAAGCATCAAGGCAAAGAAAGCAGATTCAGGGCGTGAAAGGCCTGCTTAGCCACGCCAGTCGCTCGGGGACGCTCCCAGCTGAGTGATCACGGCAGTCGGAGCGCAGTGTCCAGTCACATCGCCTCACCGCGCTGCTGCCGGAATGTTTCACGGCTTCTAGAGCCCCAGACAGTCAGAGGGAATGGTTCGGAGAGGGGGTTATACTTTTACTGAATTCCTCCCCCACTCCTAGCCCTCTTCCTTACGGCGTAATCACAAAATGCCACGATCACAAGATCCAGGCGTCCCCTCGGGCCCTCTCCCTTCCTGAAATGAGATTCATGCCAGGGACAGCAGCATTCCACAGGGCCAGACCCTGACTCGACCAGCCCCTGACGCATTGTAACGCTCTCTGTGCAACTCCCTCTGTATGTGCAGCAGACTCTGCTTTCAAGGCCTTGGCAGATACTTTCACTCTGCTGAAGATATTCTCTCGTTGGGCCAGAGGCCTCCCACTGTGTAAAGAACCTTTCCATTTTCACTCATTAAGAATTATCTACCTCTGATTCGCCCTGAGAGAAGAAACGCTGCTTCCCACCCTTTTTCTCTGATCATATAAAGCAGGGTGTGGTGGCCAACGCCTGTAATCCCAGCATTCGGGAGGCAGAGGCAGGAGGATCGCTGTGAGTTCGAGATCAGCCTGGGCTACATAGTGAGTTCCAGGTCAGTCTCACTACATAGTGAGACCCTGTCTCAAAAAACAAAACAAAACAAAAAAGGATTAGTAAATCTCTAATCTTAGAAAACAAGTTTCATTTTTTAGTAAGGCTTGCAACCACATGACACCATATACACACATGCACAGGAGGTAATGAGTGCAAGATAATGCATATTTCATTTGGCAAAAAAGAGGAATGAAGAGGTGAATAGGCGCTGAAATATACTGTACTCATTTCCTCTACCTTTCATGGCTGGGGACAGGAGATCTATTACTTGCTTACAGTTACATAAGGCAATAGCTGCTCAGTACAGCAAAACTGAGACAGAAACCTGCTCTGCCTTCATTGTAGCACAATGCCCATCAAAATATGTTTATTGGGGCTGGGATGTAGATCAGTGTTCCACTGCCTGCCTCTCAGATGCAAGGGCCGGAGTTCGATCCCTGGTACCAAACTAAATAAATAAATGAGCAAAAATATGTTTATTGCATGAGTACTATTTTTCCTGAAGTTTCTTCATTAAAAAAAATACAGGCAGTGGGCCTGGGATTTGGCTCAGTGGTTCTGCAGCCTGCACAAGGTCTCGAGTTCAATCCTTGGTACCAAAAAAAATAATAATAATAAAAAAAATAAAAATACAGGCCATGACTCTGGATATAGAAACATAAGAATTAATTTGCATGTACTCAAGGAGACCAATTAATGCAGCACCTAGAAAAAGTATTAAAGATGGCATGTGGTCAGCTTTTTATTATTTGCAAACTATTTTGAAAGTGGCCATTCCTGTCCTGGCACCTTAAACACCCACCACGGTGGTCTCCGTTCCTCACAATGTCAGCAAGGTCGGTTTTATTGGTGCCACTTTTCAGATGAGAAACATGCAGTCTGGCATGCTGTGTCGCAGCTCGTTGCCCAGTGTCACACAGACAGGAAGGAGCAGGGACAGAATTCAGACCAACATCCCCAAGGCCGGCGCCCATGTCCTCTCTGGTCACCCACCTTCCTCTATAGGCCACAGTGGGAGGTGCTAACAGTCCGTCCTGTGGGTGAACACGTCCGCTTACACGCAGTCCCCCGTGCTCACCCTGAGGATGGGCTCCGGGCCAACGTCTGTCCTTGAAGAGAAACGAGGGGCAGACAGGGAGGCTGGAATGCAAGCTTAGGGTAAAAGCAAGTTCTACTGCCTGGACCGGAACAGAGAGGTCATCGATGCTGGCCAGAGAGAAGCAAAACGCTCAATAGACATGAAGAATTTGGGTAACCGTCACACTAACAAAAAGACAAAAAGGGAAGAACAAAACCAAAGCAATTTGCATTTGTTTTCTCACTTTGCTAGGAACTCACATCTTAGAAAACTTCACAACTGTAATTAACTATTGTGTGTTTTCTGGCTTTGAGATAGCATAAAAACATTGAGAAGGAAGAGAAAAGCTCATTGTGAAGGCTCAGAAAGCAAAAAGTAGTTGTTTAATTTTCTTTCATCAGATGTTAATTTATGCAAAAACTAATAACAATTTGTGGGTTTAAAGCTTTGAATTATTGAGAGGATCCCTCTCTCCCTTGGCCGGTTTCCTGTGATCGCCGTCCACTGGAGGCCTTGTTTCAGGGCTTGTGACACTTGCCAGAGAAAGGCAGTGTGCTGAGACATTCGCATCTTGTAGACGTGGTTGACGCTACCTCTCAGCACAGTGGTGTTAAGTGATCTGACTTTTCTCCAGCTGCTGCAAACTGGAGGAGAGGGGTGCGTGGTCCCATGGGAAGGGAAGAGAGCTGTCCTCCACTGAGGGAGAACGCGTGAAGTGAAGGACAGTTTCCGTGGAAGGAGCATGGGTTACTTTCCTACCCACGTAGTTATAATTGAATAGATGTGCCTTTTATAAGTGAAGAGTTTAATTCCACTGCTGCCAGATCACCTATGCAACACAGGCAACAGTGCCTGGAGAGATGCAGAAGCTTGTAAAGTTGATGTTTTAAATGAAACTCACCACAAATAAAGTAATGACAGCTTAAAGAGGTAATTCATAGCAGTGTTGTTAGAGTACGCTATTTATACCTGCTCTTCATGAACTTCTGCTCTTATCCATGACGCTCACAGAGTGTGGCCATCACCATGGGTGGAGAGTGCCGTGGAAGGCATTAATCCAGGCTGAGCTTTGGCCAGAGTGCAGCCTCAGCACCGAGAAATCCCAGCGACATCAATTTCAAAGGCAGAATTTACTGCACATGAGCTTTCCCTTCATGGGAACTGGAAAGCCCGCCTTTCACCTTTTGGCCTCAGATATCTACTTTCGCTCTGAAGTCCAGCAGAAGATCAGCTAACCGGCCCCATTCTGAAATGCAGTGTTTATTCACCTATATCACAAAGCACAGGGATTTGACACTGAGTTGTAATCTTATCGTGCTTATGGTGTTGACGTTCAACAAGGGCTCGGAAATATTTGTAATTAATCTGTAATTTAATTTAAGCTGTAATGTAATTTTTTGATTCATGATATCTGATGGCAATGTGTAGAGAATGCCTATTACCAGGCCTGTGCAGTTATTTAGGTAAGGTGGGAAATGCCCCAAATTTTGAATATAATGGCACTTAACAGCATCTTTATTCAGAACTTTAAACATGAAGTGCATATTTTAAATTCGTAAACTTTCAGGAAAAGGCAAACCCGATTTCAACTGGTTTATTTCTAACTCTGGGATTAGAAAAAATTGAGTCCTTGGCTTGCTACCTCTGTTTGGAAGGGCTGTAACAATACACCGCAGACACGTTCAGACAAAGTGTGAATGTATTTCCCCTGGAGCACTAGATTATCTCCCGACGTTGTGAAAAGGGGCTCCTTATAAATTATACTTCTAGCACTGAAAGAAATGCTGTCTTTGATCTTGTAGGTAAAACAGTTCTCTACCTAAGGGAATGAATTAATTCCTGTATTTAATCACATGCAGTCATTAGTAGACAACTTAAGCATTCATCTTAGAACTGCGCATCGAATTTCTTCAGCATAGTAACAATCTTAACATAGTTCTGGTTAATGGAAACCTTTTAATACAGCAGTCCCTGACATGACAGACAAATAAGAAATGGCAAAGAGAAAGACATCTCAAACATAGGGTAAATAAAACTACCAACCGAAGGAGAAGATCGGCGTCCAGCACTCAGCCCACTCACTCCTGCTTCCCGTGCTAGAATCGCCAGACATTCCACGCCAACCACTCTGTCCAAGCACAATGTCCCTGTTATTCAAATTAGCTATGCTCACCACCAAAATTCCCATGGTGTGTGGCTGGTTCATGATTGAAGTTTCTTCCTTGCCCCCGAGGTCAGGCTTCTTCAGATTTCTGAAGCAGGGACCTTCTGTGACTCGTAGGACACCACATGGCTCTGCACCACATCCAGGCTTAGTACAAACCCCAAGTGCAGGACTGAGCACTCTCCTTGGTACAACACTCAGAAAGGGCAGAGGAAGTCATGTCCCCGACACACCGCCAGACAAATGTCACCGGGCTGCAGGTGCCTGAAGACAAATAGCAGACTGGAAAAACAGCAAAATCAAAGCATAGTTCCATACATTTTTCTAATGAAACAGAACATATGAAAACAAAGCCAGCTTATGTGAAGCATCTTCCCTAAGAAATGAGGATTTATTCTATATATCAATACCCTGCATTAGGAACTAGAGATAAACCTCCCCAGATAGCCTCGCTAGTGACCTGTGAACATTAGCAGCCTGCAATTTTGTGTATTTATGGCGAGCCGGGAACAGTTCAGAGCCTGGTGAATGTGATCTAGCTTTGAGAAAGGTACTGTCATTTTACAAACAGAAAGTACTGCCCGGCAAGGTACAGACCCTCTCTGAAAGACACAAAATCATCTGGAGACTGAACTGAACTCGCCGATCTTTCATTCCAACCTTGCCTTGCCTTTTGTACTAAATTTTCCTTAAAAAATATTTTACATTTCTTCTCTAGAGAAAGAAGACAAGAATAAAGAAGAGAAGACAGTTACTTCTGAAACCAAAAAGAAAGGTAAAGGATTTAAAAGCTGGGTGACCCACGAATCAATGAGTGTCCATTGTGCTACTGGCAAAATTCTTGTTTTCTAGGGAAAAAATTATCCTAGGAATCCAGTAGTCATTCTTGACAAACAGCATTGAATTTTTTAAATATTCCAAATAAATTTGAATTTGAAGTTTTTAATTGTGAATGTCTGATTAAGTTTTACTTCCTTAGGAATGGCTTCTCAGTTCACCTTAATTCACCATCTCCCTTGGCAATATAAATGAACATAAAGTTCACTATTTAATCCAGTTTAATAAAAAAGGCCAATTTATGTAGTAAGAAGAGCATGTGAGAGTGGCTTGCTGTACCTGTTTTTTTGTTGTTCTTTGTTTTTGTTTTTTATTTTTTTGTTTTCTTTGTAGATAACTGGTTGTTTTCACACAACCTACTTAAGGTCCCAGTGTTTCCAACAAACTTCCAGTAACCTGGGGGATTCACCACATTACTTTTAATATACTTTAGAAAGTATATTAAATCATAATTAATTATGCCATCTAATGTTTCCATTTTCTGGAAGATTTATTTTCCTTAGCAACATGTGCTCCTTCCTAGAGGGAAAGCACTCCTCGGCTGCTGGTTGGTTCAAAAGGTGTGAGCTCACTCGTGTTTGACAAGACTTATGGGTCTGATTTGGGATTCTTCTGTACAAGATGAACTGGTTAGCTTAATGTCAGTCAGCTTACCCTGAAATATGTAAGCAGTGAAAAGGTAGAGGCTTATTACTTTCCTATTTTACCAGCAGACAAAGAAGATGCTAAAAAGAAAAGTGAGAAGGACGCTGTCCCAGATGCGAAAAAAAAAGGTATTGCTCTTTGTTGCTTTAGATTATGTTCAAGGTGTTTGTTTCGTGAAAAATCTTCAGGCATCATAAACAAAGTGGATAGTTATGCATATACTCCAGTGTGTAGACTGTTAAAGCCAAAAATCCAAACCTCCAAAAATGAAAAACCAAGTGAGTATTACACAGTGTCAAAGGAAGATATTATGCAGGGTTTTGAGGTCAGCGGAGAGAGCAGGACTCAGTCCGACTCAAATCTACTGAAACAAGAAGCAGAAGAATGTATCCGAAAAGCTGAACTAGGGAATGCTAGGCCACCTAGTTTGCATGTCGATTTTTATAGAAGGACAATTAAATGCTCTTTCCCTTGTATTCAATGAGAAGAAAGTTTTACAAGCTGGGGCAAGGTGTCTAAAATGTTAGGCTCCCAACTTCCCACGGACTAGGGGAAAAGCGGCACTCTCTCCTCGAAGATTACACTCCAGAGAAATGGCTCTCAGACCTTTGAGAAAGCCATTCTTGGTCTGCAGAACTGGAAGTGTTTTTTAAAAAATATTTACATCTTAAAGGAGTAGAGAAACAACTTACAACATCACGTTTCATAGAAGGGATGCCTAGACCCATTTTCATAGAAGCAAAGGCAGGTCCAGCATCCACATCAGGGAGAAGCCTGTGTTGGCGAAGGTAAGAGCCATTCTGGTTAAGACACCGTGAAATGACAAGCATCTGCGCCATCACAATGCAGCTTTCCAAAGATGAGAAGCTAAGAGAGAATAATGCACCCCATTAAGAAACTGGGCTATTCGACTAGATTAAAAGGTTAGATTTTTGCTTTAAATTTGATTTTGTTTTGACTCTCATACAGACATGAATATTGGCTCCTATTCATGTAAAGGTTTAAATAGACATGGAGAAATTGTCATCTCCAATGTTATGGTTTTTGGGATAAGTATTCTTGTCCTTAGTGATGTCAGTAATGATTAAGATTCTCCCTTTAGAGGCATTCTATTCCTTTAAGTTATGAGTAAATTTTCCTCCTTTAAAATGCAAGGGCCTGTATATATGGGGTAAGCTATTTACTTTCAGCTATGAACAGCTTGGAATTCCCAGATCGTCTTTGTGGTAGGAAACTGAAAATTAGACCCCAGAAATGAGGCAGTAGTTGAGGACGCTGTTCAAGAGAGCCTCAGGGCAGGCATGGTCTGTGGGCAGCAGACTGCACTGAGGGGATTAGCGAAGGTTTCCTTCCTGGGGAGTAATAGCTCATGTGGGTGGAGGTGCTGGAGAAAGACTCCAGAAACAGGAACAAGGGGATGGCAAACTGAGTATCGATCGGTCTTAGCAAGCAGCAAACAGGAATGACAGAGCTTCCTCAACATCATGCTACAAATGAGGAAAATGTATGAATTAGTGAGAGTTGCATGATTGTGTGGCTCACAAAACGGGCAGAAGGAGACATCCAGGTGTTCAGTAGGTCTGGGAGCTGATTGCTAATTACTTTCCATCTCTACTTCTATTATTAAAAGTGTGTTCTTGTGGAAATTATTGTACTGTTGAATATTTATGGATTTTACTCTGAAGTTTATTTTTCTGGTGAAATACGAATTTTATCCTATGAAAGGAAAGACACAGTTCTGACTGTGGTACTGAGAACCTGGTTGCTGGTCAGGGGGTCGCGGACAGACCCAGACTGGGAGGCCGATATCCCGGAGGCGCTCCCTGCTGGGCCCTCTGTGCTGCTGAAGATTTTGCTGAAGAAACTTTTAAATCGGAATCCGCAAGACATTTGTCATGTGCATGCAAGTACTAAATCGGAAGTACTAAAATTTCATTTTGACTCGTCAGCAGGGCGCGTGTGTGTACGTGCGTGTGCGTGTGTAGCTGAGCTAGCCTATGCATGGGAGGGACGGGGAGAGCGGATGGAAGGAGTCTGGTCCACATGGCGGCTGGGCCCCCGCTGCCCGGAGAGCTGAGGGCCAGTGCTGAGCCCACACAGCCGTTGCTGGCCTCCGGAGCAGGCAGGCAGGGCTGTCCAGGCATCTGGAAGGAGGGCTGCCCCATGGGGCTGCTGAGGCAAACCCTCCTCTCAGGCCAGCTCTCAGCTTGCCCGCGGTCACTCTCGCTTCTGATTACAGAGTACCATTGGCGCTGCGAATCAGGTCCGGTTCAATCAGGTCGGGTTCCTGATGGAAATCTGTGTTATTCAATAGTTTACTTAGAAGCCTTAACCCTGAGGTGCTCAAGGTGTGTGTGTGCGTGTGTGTGTGTGTGTGTGCGTGTGTGTGTGCGTGCGTGTGTGTGTGTGTGAAAGAGACAGAGAGGGAGGAGCCCCAGGGAGGAAGGAAAGGTATGGGAATTGGCTTCTAACCATGGTTTCTTCTTAAAATGCAGTCTTTCTTTATATTTTCATGTGACAGCAACACAGTTTAAAAACAGCCAGTGTGAAGCTTATACAGAGAGTAATAAAAATTTAGAGAGATAATGAGAGAAATTGAGTTTAACTTAAAATCTTAAGGAGCCTGAGCACAGATGTCATTTCTTCCTAAAATACCCAAAGAAATATGGTAAAGCACATGATATAGAAGCGTATGATATCACCACTGTCCCCCCAAATAGTAGCAAATTTACACGGCAGAAGATATGCCTAGGAGCTCATTTAATATATGTTTTATTATATTACATTTACATTCACTTTCATATGCTTTGCAGAGCTATATACTCCATAGATCTATTTAGATTTTTACATGTAGTGCTCAATACAAAAGAAAGTAAGTTTCAACTTTTGTTCACTGATGAGCACCTTTATGTAATGGAACCTAAGAATCATACTGAGTTAACAATCTGTGTTAGGGAAAGTGTGGGAGGGATATTATATGATACAAAACCATCAGCCCATGATTAATAATAGATGAAACTGAGTAACTGATACTTGAGGGTTAATTTTAATACTATCTTGTTTAGTATATAAGTAAAAATCCTGCCACTTAGAAACATTGTGAGAAATTAGAAAATCACTAGGACATTTTTGTTATCTAGTATATGTTATAAGGTATATTTCATACCAAGAAAAAAAGCAACTGACGAAGGAAGTAAAAACTTAAAAACAACTCCCTGTGTTTGTACGGGACTTTGGTGCTAGACACAGTCATCAGTGTAGTTAATACAAGGGGAAAAGTCTACCGAGAACTGGGTACCTGGGAAATTGTTGGTAGGACAGGAAGAGTTGGAATCATGAGACTGCTACTGGGTTATTTAGCAATAGGTCAGGAAACCTTCGTTCATCAAAGCTGCCTCCTCTAACACCCACAGTGGCAAGACAGGGAATGTGGAGGCCGAGCTCACAGTGCACTGACCTCTTCATTTGGGGAGTCCTTCGTGTGGTTTGCCAAGCCATTCCTCCCTGCAGTTTCGTGTGGGTACATCTAACTGGTGGAATTTAACTTCTCCAGAATGAGCTCCCTCTGCCAGGAGCCTGCGAGATGCAAGTTTCTAACATTCCCACCTGGAGGGTAGGGGTTGAGCGAAGCTGTCCTGGTATTTACAGCCAGGACACTTTAGGAAATGTCTGAGAGACAGAGTTCACAGGAAATGGTTTTCGAAGTCCTGAATTATTCGGGAACTGAACACAGGCTGAGTCCTCCCCTAAGGCTCTATCAAACAACACAATCAAACCTGTGCTCATGAGTCACTTGGATGCAGTTTATGTTGCCTTTCTTGGACTTCCAGATAAAAGTAATGGAGGTTCCTTCTCTCTTCACCCCACAAGATGATGACTTCTAAAGAATTTTCTAAATGCTTGACAATGAGACTATAGTGCCTTAAAAAAGAACACCGTCTTGTCATATAATGAAAATTTTATAACCCTGGCAAAGTATAGAGAGCAGTGGAAAAACCAAGTCAACATTAAGGTGGTCTATTCTTTTCGGGTTGCCTGTTTTTTGAAGTTGTGATGTTTCTTTGGAGCTAATTTTGACATTATCTGTATGCTTATCAGTTATTAATTATGAACATAATCTTCATGGTGCTGGGGATCAAACTGAGGACCTTGTATACATCAGGCAAGTGGTGTCCTACTGAACTGCATCTCCAGACCTGAAAATAATTTAGCAGTAATAGATGACTAATGATGACTATGAAATAATATTTAATTATTACAATTCCCGTGGAAATTTGCCCCCAAAATTATCTCAATAGGAGACTAAAAGAACCTTTTTTTCTGAAATAAACAGTAAGAAAAGGATAAATTCATTCATATATGTATGCATTTTCCTTCTTTCTTTTGAGAAAAGGTCCTCTTATATAGTTCAGGATGTCTTTGAACTCACTATATAGCCCAGGCTGGCCTCGAACTCACAGCAAATCCTCCTGCCTCAGCCTCCTGAGTGCTGGGATTACAGGTGTGAGCCTCCACGCCCACCTTCTTGCAGGAAATATGTGTGAACTGCTACTACATGACCAATGTTCTGCTAAGTCCTGAGTGTATAAAGGTGGGTAAATGGTCCTAGATTTGCCTACTGAGGCTTACAGATTGATGGTGAAAACATGCAATGAAGGAGGAGAAAGAATGTCCGTGCGTGCAGTGTGTAGTAAGGTTGGTGGGGCAAATAAATTTGGGACAAGGCAGAGAGACTGTGTTAGAGAGCTGAGCTGAGAGAGAGCGTTTAAACTGAGATCTGAGGTACTGGAAGGATCCATTCATGGATGCGTGCAGCTTTGTGTGATGTGTGAATGTGTGGAATAAACATATGTTACATGTATGTGTATGTTTCATGAGCAGTCATATACAGGACATATACAAGTCTTTGAATTTTTTTCCATTAAATTTATTGGTACCTTTTAGGTAGACAGTACAGTTACATTCATCATTGGGATCCTGTACCTTTACATGACTTATCTTGGTTCTTATTTTTCCCCATTCCCAGCCCTCCCTCCACCCCTCTACTATCCCCTATTTACAAAGATTTTGTTTCCATTTTTTTCCTTTTTTCGTATTTTTTCTTTTCCCTTCTTTCCTTTCCCCTACC